CTTGCCCACCCCTCCCTCCTCTGGCACCACCGCCTTGGTCACCCTTCCCTCCCTCGTCTCCGCGCTATGTCCAGTCAGCGTCTTGTCTTAGGCCTCCCCCGAGTCCTCCCTCCACTCCCGCCGTCCCCAGCTCCTCCGTGCGGTCCTTGTGTCCAGGGTCGGCTGCGCGCCACCCCTCACTCCTCCTCCCTTCGTCCGGCCACCGAGCCCTTCGAGACTCTCTACTTAGACGTCTGGGGCCCCGCTCCCCGTCTTGGCCCTCAGCGGGAGAGTTTCTTTCTGGTGGTCGTTGACGACTACTCTCGGTACACCACCGTGTTCCCTTTGGCGAAGAATTCCGACGTGACTTCTACGCTGATCCGGTGGCTCCTCGCCACCGAGGGCACTCGCGGTCGTCGTGTCAGTTGTCTTCACTCCGACCGTGGGGGTGAGTTTCGCTCCGGCATTCTCGCCAAGTTCTGTGCTGAGCAGGGCATCACCCAGTCCTGGACTCTTCCAGACTCTCCACAGCAGAATGGGGTTGCTGAGCGCCGCTTAGGCCTGGTCATGGAGATCGCCCGCACCTCCATGATCCATGCCCACGCGCCCCATTTCCTGTGGCCCTACGCGGCTCGGTACGCCGCTCACCAGCTGAACCTCTGGCCTCGCGTCTCTCGGCCAGGGGCTTCACCGACCAGTCTTTGGACAGGGTCCCCTGGTGTTGCGTCGAGGTTTAGTGTCTGGGGCTGCTTGGCTCTTGTCCGCGACACCTCTGCGGACAAGATCTCGCCTCGCGCTGTCCCCTGTGTCTTCCTTGGTTTCCCAGAGGGCTCCTCTGACTTCACCTTTTACCACCCTCCCTCCCACCGGTTCCTTGACTCTCGTGACGTCCGTTTCGACAATGTCCGTCCCCTACTACGTCCGGTACCCCTGTCGAGGTCTCCCGGTTCCCCCCCCTCCCCTCTTCTTGGCTCCAGCTCCTCCTCCTCCCGCCCCTGCTCCTCCGGTACCCCCCCCTGTCCCCGCTCCGTCTGGTGTGTCCCACGCTGCTCCCCCCCCCTCGGTACCCCCCCAGGTCTCTCCTCCTTCCCCACAGTCGTCCTCACAGCCTCCGCAGCAGCCGCCGGCGCTTCCTTTACCGGCCACTGCGGACTCTGAGGGTGTTGGTGCTCGAGGTGAGGGCTCTGGGGGTGCTCGCTCTGGGGGTGCTGGCGTTGGAGCTGTTCGTGCACCTACAGGAGCAGCCCGTTCTGGGGGTGTTGGCGTTCGCACTGAGCGTGCACCTGCCGCAGCTGCCCGTTCTGCGGGTGCTGGAGCTGGTGGTGTTTCTGGAGCTGGAGAGTCTGGGGCTGGTGCTGGTGCCACTGGGGGCACCACGCCTGGGGGTGCGGGTGCGCCTCCTACTGGTGCTGGTCGTGCTGCCGCGGGAGGTACTCGCTCTGGGGGTGCTCAGCCGGGTACTGCTGCGGACGGAGCCGGTTCTTCTGCTGCGTCTCCTGACACCACTCCTCCTCCTCACCCCTACCCGACTCGTTACCAGACCCTTCTTCGTCTTGAGCGTGAGGAGCAGCAGCGTTTGGAGCGTGAGAGGTCGGAGGTTCAGCAGCGGGTGGAGCGTGAGAGGTTGGAGTTGCAGCGGGAGCAGGAGCAGCAGCAGCAGCGGCCGCAGCAGCCGGAGCGGCCTCCGGCCCCTGTTTCTGGCCTTCGGGCCCTTGGTCTCCCCTCCTCTCCTCCCGTGTTCGGTCCTACGTTTCCTCCTCCGGACTCAGCTCCGGGTGTGTTCCCTCGTTCTCAGTCTCCTCCGTCTCCCCCTCCACTCGCCCACACTTGGACCTCTCGTCCTCCTCGTGCTCGTCCCTCGTCCCCTGTCACTGACCTCCGTACTGCTTTGTTTCGTTCTAGTCTTCCTCGTCCTCCTCAGTCTGTTCTTCCTCGTCCTCCTGAGTCGTCCCTCACTGCCTCCCTGTCCACTCCGGTCTCTGACTACTACCGCACGTACCGCCCCACTCTCTCTCGTGTTCTCGCCTCTCTTGTTACAGACCCTCGTGCCTCTCCTTCCTCCGTCGCGGTCCTCACTGCCGCTGTCACTGACTTTACTGCTACGCGTCGCCTTGACTACGCCACTCGTGTTGTGGCTGCTCCTCCTGTCCGTCCTCTGTCCGCCGGGGGTGAGTCTGCCCTTGGCTGTAACGTCCTAGAGGACAGACAGTTTGAGCTAGAGTTTCTGGCAGCTGCTTCGCCTCATCTCTGTGCCATGCTCCTCGCTCCTGAGGGAGACCCCGACGCTCCTGACATACCTACTCCTCGCACTTACGCTGAGGCAGTGTCAGGGCCTTGGGCCTCTCAGTGGAGAGCTGCCATGGACGCAGAGATGGCCTCCTACAGGTCCACAGGCACTTACGTTGGCGAGGTTCCCCCCCAAGGGGAGAACATCGTTGACGGCATGTAGATCTTCAAGGTGAAGCGGCCGCAGGGATCTCCCCCAGTCTTCAAGGCACGCTACGTGGCTAGAGGGTTCAGACAGCGTGAGGGAGTTGACTTCTTTCAGACCTTCGCGCCCACCCCGAAGATGACCACTCTTCGGGTGTTACTGCACGTAGAAGCGCAGAGAGACTACGAGCTACACTCTCTTGACTTCTCCACTACCTTCCTCCAGGGCCGCCTACACGAGGAGATCTGGCTGCGTCGTCCTCCGGGCTTCACTGGCACTTTCCCGCCAGGGACCCAGTGGAGCCTCAGACGACCGGTCTACGGTCTCCGCCAGGCACCCCGTGAGTGGCACGACACTCTCCGCTCGACTCTCTCCGACCTCGGGTTTGAGCCGTCTTCCGCCGACCCGTCGCTGTTTGTTCGTCGTGGGCGCACACCTTTCTTCGTTCTCGTCTACGTTGACGACCTGGTTTTTGCCACAGCCGACACAGTTGCACTGGCGAAGGTGAAGTCCGAACTGCAGAAGAGACACACCTGCACTGACCTTGGGGAACTGCGCCGCTACATTGGCCTGCAGATCTCCAGGGACAGAGCCGCTCGCACCATCACTCTGACTCAGTCACACATGGTGCAGCAGGTCCTTCAGCGGTTCGGGCTTCAGCACTCTTCTCCTACACCCACCCCTCTTGCTGTAGACCACAGACTCACTGGGCCTTTTCCTGACGAGCCGTTCGAGCCCAGTGGTCCCTATGCAGAGCTGGTGGGCTGCCTCATGTACCTGATGACGTGTACTCGCCCGGACCTCGCCTTCCCTCTTAGCATCCTTTCTCGCTTTGTTGCGACTGGGAGACACCGTCCTGTTCACTGGGCGGCGGTTAAGAGGGTGGCGAAGTACCTCGGCGCGACATCAGACATGGGGCTTGTACTTGGAGGGACACAGCCAGTTGTACTCACCGGTCACTGCGACTCCTCCTACGCCGACGAGGTTGAGGCTCAGAGGTCTACACAGGGTTACTGTTTCAGCCTGGGCTCTGGAGCTGTTTCGTGGAGGTCTACTCGGTCCTCCTCTGTTGCGACTTCTACCGCAGAGGCCGAGATCTACGCTGGAGCCCTTGCTGCACAGGAGCTACGCTGGTTGACCTTCTTGCTCACTCACCTTGGTGAGCGGCCGAACTCTGCACCGACCTTGTTTGCTGACAACAAGGCGATGATTCTCCTGTGTCGTGAGCCTCGACTGGAGAGCAGAGTGAAGCACATCGACGTCAGGTACTTCCTCCTTCGAGAGTTGCAGCGACGCGGACAGGCTCGTCTGGACTTCGTGGCCTCCGAGGCCAACACTGCAGACATCTTCACCAAGGCTCTTCAGCCTTGTGACCACCGCCGGTTTTGTCTGTAGTTCGGTCTCGTTGAGACTGGGTCTAGTAGACTGGAGTAGTGATTTCTTGCCTTTTGTGTGTGTGTACCATATATATATTAGCTTATACACTCTTGAACTGGCCTTGTGGCCCCTTGTTTGTGCTCAGACTGTGTGGTGACGTTGTGATCCACCCTGAGATTTGTTTCCTCTCTTGCTTGCGACTGGTCTTGTGACCTTAGGTTGCATTTCTTGTTGTTTGGCATTCCCCACTTAGGCTATGGGGGTGTGTCAAATGTTATAGCCTTTAGTGGGTCATGCTATATGGGGTACAAACAGTTAGGGTTAGGTACTTGTACTCCAACATAATCAATGCAACTCATTCCGCTGTAGCCACTTTCTGAGACATAGTACTACATCGCTTTGTCTACAGTAGAATGCTTTCAGGATCAAATCTGGTGCAGATTACCCAGCCAAGGAATCTGTCAAAGGCAGATTGCAATCTGCAAACTCATGTGCGGCAAGGCATGCATGCATGCCCCCTGCCCAGGTTAGGCGCACAAGCAGGCCTCTGGATAGGATTTGAGGCTATCTTTCATGGAAGACTAGTTCCTTCGAACTACTTTTCCTGTCAGTGTGCTTATTATGAGTCGGTTTTCTTCCACAGGGTCATATAAAAATGTAGTTTTCCATGAAAGGGTAATGTCCTAAACTGCTTTTTTTTTTTTCGCGTGTTAGGTGAACAATACAATACTAAACATTAGAGACTACTCTACTCTACACTACACTAAGCATCATTGCTTTGAACATAATCTGCAGATGGGCGCCGCTTTTTAAGACTGTGGAACAGGGTCGCCACGTTCATCCAGTTCACATCCTTCGTGGGAAGAAGGGCAGCTGTTATGAGGTCGCTCAATCGCGCGTCTGCAATACAGCGACGTTTCCAAGTCTTGATGCGGTTCTGCCTGCTAAAACCGCGCTCGCACTCGACGGTGCTCAACGGGAGCACCGCCAATGCCTGCCACAGCCTCACCATGTTTGGATACGCCCCTGCATAGTCCGACGACTGCAGCATCACAGTGAGCGACTTGTAGAAGTTGAGGGAGCCGTGATTGTTTTCCATCGTGTGTAGGAACAAGGTCAGCTCCCTCTCGCACGCTTTGAAATCGACACCTGGTATATATAGGGGGACAAAATAGATGAGAACAAACAACCGAAACTGATGGCGTGGTTTAGACTAGACAACAACAACAGGCATACCTGGAAGGCAGTAGTGAAAGAGCTTGTCCAGCTGCGCCAGCCACTCACGACACCTGCGCTTGCGCAGAGTGGTGTCCTCGGGATACAACGCAGGGCGGTATATCTTGGCGCCATTCAGGTTCTCCAAGTCCACGAATCGGTACTCCAGACGGTCTCTTGTCTCACGCGCGTAGTCCTGACACAGCTTCTTACACGAGTAGTAGTCTCCGCCGGTTTCCACACCATCGAGTTTCCGCTCGTGCAGCACGAACTTGTGAGCTGCTGCTTCGCCCTCCTTGTCCACGCCCTCGACCGTTACTTCACGTTGCTGTCGGTTGGCGTGCTTCTTGAGGAAATCGGAGAGCAGGGGAGACTGCCCATTGCCGAAAGAATCCTCACACTCGATGTACCGCACTTCGATCGTGCGGCATGCCAACGAAACTTCGCTTGCCACGACCGTGATGTCCACCTGCACAAGCAAACAGCACGCAAGTCACTGTCAGATGATGCAATGTTATAAATATCTATACTACGCTCGTGTGAAAGTACCTGCTGCTTTTGAAACTTGATGTTGAGATCGTTGAGGATGACCAGCAGGTCGGCGAGGAAGAACACGAGGAAGTGAAACTTGAATGATGTGACGACTTCGTACATTGCGTGGGAATTCTCGTGCAGCAGGAGAATCGTAGCAGGGAGAACTTTCACAAACCGCTTCACCGCCTCTCCTCTCGATAACCAACGCACGGCATGAATGCCCTGCATCTCGAGGTTCGTCTGGCACACGTACTCCTGCAGATGGTGAAAGCGGTGGTAGTGCACGGAGCTCTGCGTAATCGTCGTGTTGAGCGCTCGGACTGCTTGGTCGACCATGTTAAACTCCGGCAACTTAGTCGCGGCGTCCTTAGCTGCAAGGGCCTCCCTGCAAACACAGAAGCGAATCGATTAGACTACCAGAGCGTTACAAAATGTAACTAAAAGCACAATCTTACCGATGAGCAATGCAGTGACAGGAGAACAAATACGGGTTCTTCGCACGAAGACGGGCGACAAGTCCATTGTGCTCCCCAATCATGACAGAAGCGCCGTCGGTGCTCATGCCGACGATCTTGCCGATGTCCACGCCTATCGCCTCTAGATGCGTCAGAAGAACGTCTCGTAGACTCGCCGCATCACATTTCACGACCGTGAGTAGAGATAGGAACTCCGTGACGACCTCGTCGCATCGCAGGAATGTCGCGTACACGATAAGGTGCTTCCCACGCACCCTATCCGTGCTCTCGTCCAGCATGATGGAGATGAAGGGACTGGATGCGATGTGCTGGAGCTGCTCGGCGCGAAGGTACTTCGATGCAGCTTCGAGAAGCTCGCCGAATCCGTACCTGCAAAAAGCGGTTGAGGCATTTAGAAATTGTGTAGTTGCAACATATTAAGGAAAAATAACATTAAGAAGGCGCAAAACTAGCCACTTACTCAAAATAGTAGGCCCCCCTTTGATCGAGCGGGAGGTTGGGCGTTCCCATCTCCTGCATGAACTTGATGAAGCCGACGTATGAGGTGATGGGCGCCTCTGACTGGCAGGTGAACACCGCGGTCTTCAAGGCCGCGATGAGGTGTAGGGTTTTCTTGTCGAGACCCTCGTACTCATTGAGCATCGCCTGCCTTACTTTCTTGCTCTGCTTCGCCTTCATCGCACCATGGGCGTCGAGGTGCGCGGTGGAGCGTTGATGCGTGCGGATGCTTTGCTTCTGCATGTCACAGCCGCCTTCTCCGTTCTTTCCGTATGCCGTGTTTGCATTTTCTGCGCCATACTCGATGCATGTGCTGCACTTCAACAGAGGAAAGCCGTCGTCAGAGCGGAGTAAAACAAGCCAGGGGAATAAACCATGCCAAGAATTAGTGAAGCGCCTGTGCGCCTTGGCAAACTCTACTTCAGGATCACGTCCAGTAGACGGCACTGTATCGCCTTCTTCGTCGTCGTCCGGATCGTTGTCAGCCACCTCATCACCAGGACTCGGCTCCCGGGTGAAGCGGATCTTGCGCTGCCGCCATTTTTGCTGCCCAGCCCAGTCGCCAGTCTTGCGCTTGATGCCTTCCGACTCCAGTCCAGCATCCGTCGTTTCAGGTGATGGGCTGGCCGCCACGGGCACAGGGGTCGTGGAACCAGACGCGGGCAAGGAAGGGCCATCCTCACGCGTCTGTACTAAAGGCGTCAGGGGAACAGCATCGACAGGCCTCAAAAAGCTGAGGCCTGTTCGTGGGGGAAACGTTGGGCGTGCTCTGTCAGCATTATCGGCGTCGTCATCAATGGCGTCAAGCGCCATTGCTAGTAGGAGAACGAAAGCATGGAAGGAGAGAAAGGCATGGCTCGAACCTTGCACAGCTAGGAAGTGAAATACGCACAATGACAAAGCTAGAAGAGACCCCTCCTCCTCGCGATTGTGCGGTGAGGGAGAGGTCAGCAAAGTCGGTGGGTGGGTGGGTGTGGTGTGGTGTGACAGAGGGGTGGGGAATTGTCAAACTATGTTTCTCTGTTGTAGGCTGTAGTGGGGTAGCCTCTACTGAGTACAACACTTTAGGGTTAGACATTGCCCTACTTGTACTCATCCTTGCTTCCTAGTCAATCATTCTTGCCTCTTGATTCTGACATGGTTTCAGAGCAGTATGTCCGTAGGACCGTGTTTTTTTTCGGGCCCACCTACCGCTACCCCACGACTGTGACTGTGACTGACTTTGCCTGTGACGTGCTGCGCTGCGCGCGCCGTCTGCCTGCTGCCTACTGTCTGCTGACTGCGCTGTCTGCTGCTGCTTCGCGCGCAGACCTAATTTTCAAGCGCTGCCTCGTTTTTACCCCCGCGGGTCGCCCTCTCCTGCCCGAAAAGCGCCTCGGCAGCCGCGTCGCGTCCCGCGCACGGCCCGCGCAGCCCGCGTCGAGCCCGCGCAGTGCGCGCGCGGCCCGACAGCGACGCGCGCGCGGCCCGCAGCTGCCCCGCGCGGCCCGCACCGAGCCCGCGCAGCGCGCGCGCGACCCGCCGCTGCCCCGCGCAGCCCGCCCAAAGCCCGCGCGGCGCGTCCGCGGCCCCAGGCAGCGGCGCACGCCACCCTACCGCCGCCACGGCCTCGCCCTGCCGCCGACATGGCCCCACCCTGCCGCTGACACGACCCGGCCTTGCCGCTGACACGACCCGGCCCCGCCCTGCCGCTGACTCGACCCGGCCCTTCACTGTAGCCGCTGCTGCGGCCCCGCTGTCGCCGCCGTCGTGCGCCGACCCTGCCGCCTTCCGCTGAGCACCGGCCCTGCTCGCCCGGTGAGAGCCTGCTCTTCCCGCCACTGGTGAGCCCCTGCCTTGCTAGCGCGCTGCCGCGCTGCCTGCCTGCCTGCCTGCCTGTCTGCCTGCCTGTCGCGCCTGCCCTGCACGTACTATGGCTGTTACTGCTGCTACGGCTGTTACTGCTGCCCGAGCTGCTGCTGCTACTGTTCCTCCTGGTGCTCCTGGCGGTGGCCAGATGCAGCTCCAGCGACGCCCGCGCGAGTCTCTCACGCCTCAGCAGCTTCGTGAGTGGTACGCTAGTTGGGGTTGTGGCGGTAGCCGTCGTGACTGTCGCCCTGGAGCTGGTCGGTCGGGAGCGTCTGGCAATGGCCAGCTGCAGCTGCAGCGGCGTCCGCGCGAGACACTTACGTCCCGGCAGCTTCACGAGTGGTACGCTCAGAGTCGAGGGTCTCGGAGTACCGTTCGCTGCCCGTACGTCCCACGCACAGGTGATCGGACTGGTCAGGCTTGCGGGACACTTGGTCACACCCAGTCCCGCTGCTTCGCCCGTCTGAGCGACGACTGGCGTACCGAGTTTGGTGACGAGGCTGAGGTCCCCTCCTGGCTGGAGCTGCTTGGGCAGGGGGTAGATATCTTTGCTCTTGACTATGATGCTATTCTCACTGCCATGTATGCATTGCCTACTAGTGCTGACCGTGCCTGTTCCCTGTGCGTACCGCCTGACCCAGGTATAGAGGCTGCTGCTCTAGGTGCTAGTGCGTCTCCTGCGCTAGGTGCTGGTGAGGCTGCTGCTCTAGGTGCTAGTGCGTCTCCTGCTCTAGGTACTGGTGAGGCTGCTGCTCCAGGTGCTGGTGAGTCTGCTCTCTCTGGTACTGCGCCTGCTGAGGCCGTGTACACCTTCACACTTGACTCAGGTGCTTCCCGCTCCTTCTTTCGCGACAGCACCACACTCACGCCGCTCCGTCGGCCGGTTGCAGTCTCCCTGGCAGACCCCTCTGTGGGTCCAGTCCTTGCGCACTCCTCCACGGTCTTGCCGTGTCCTGCGGTCCCGTCTGGCTCCCTGTCAGGTCTTCACCTCCCCTCGTTCTCTACGAACTTGGTGAGTGGAGCTGACCTACAGGATGTGTGGGTTGACCAGTTCACCCCTGGAGGTCAGCGTGTGACCTGTACGTGCTCCCGGACTGGTCGGCACCTGGCCACGTTCACCCGTGAGCCTGGCTCGAGCCTGTACACACTGACCACTGTGTCCCCTCAGGTAGCTGCGTCTGCGTTTGCGTCAGGTCAGCTAGCGACCCCCTGTTCGTGTCGCGCTTTGTCGCACCAGACCGTCATGTGGCACCACCGCCTTGGTCACCCCTCGGTGCAGCGCCTTTGTCGCATGCACAGCCGTTTCCTTGTCTCTGGACTTCCAGAGACTCTGCCTCCTCTACCGCCCTCGCCTGCTCCTCCCTGTCTTCCCTGTGTCGAGGGGCGGCAGCGCGCCGCTCCTCACTCCTCCTCGTTCCCTCCCACAGAGGCTCCCTTGCAGACTCTCCACCTGGACGTGTGGGGCCCAGCCCGCGTCCGTGGACAGGGCCACGAGCGGTACTTTCTGCTGGTCGTCGACGACTACACGCGTTACACCACGGTCTTCCCCTTGCGCACCAAGGGGGAGGTCCCTGATGTTTTGATCCCCTGGATCCGAGCTACTCGGCTCCAGCTCCGCGAGCGGTTCCAGTCGGACTTTCCTGTCCTGCGTCTGCACTCTGACAGAGGTGGTGAGTTCTCCTCAGACCTCTTGGCAGCCTACTGTGCGGAGCACGGCATCCGCCAGTCGTTCACGCGCAGAATGGGGTTGCTGAGCGCCGCATTGGCTTAGTCATGGAGGTCGCTCGTACCTCCATGATCCATGCGGCTGCCCCCCATTTTCTGTGGCCGTTTGCGGTCCGGTACGCCGCGCATCAGCTCAACCTCTGGCCCCGTGTCTCCTTGCCGGAGACCTCGCCCACACTGCTGTGGACGGGGAAGGTTGGCGATGCGTCGCGTTTCCGGGTCTGGGGTGCTCGTGCCTTTGTCCGCGATACCACCGCGGACAAGCTCTCCGCCCGCGCTGTTCCCTGTGTCTTCCTTGGCTTTGTCCCTGACGCGCCTGGTTGGCAGTTTTACCACCCCACCTCGCGCCGTGTCTTCCCCTCTCAGGACGTCACGTTCGACGAGTCGGTTCCCTTTTACCGTCTCTTCCCCTACCGCACTGCCCCTCTCCCCCCCCCCCGCCGCTCTTCCTCGCTCCAGGTGCTCCCCAGGTAGACCCCCTCCCCGCTCCCGGTCCTGCTCCTTCAGGTGTGTCTCAGGTAGACCCTCCTCCTCAGGTTGAGGTCACTGGTGACTCAGGTGCTGCTGAGGGTGGTGCTGCTGCTGGGGGTGCTGAGCCTGGGGGTGCGGAGCCTGGGGGTGTTGAGCCTGGGGGTGCGGAGCCTGGGGGTGCGGAGACTGGAGGTGCTGAGGCTGGGTGTGAGGAGTCTGGGGGTGCTGAGCCTGGGGGCACTGAGGCGTCTGCTGAGCAGTCTCCCGGGAGCGGCCGTCTCCGTAGTCGCTCCGCTGGTGCCTCGCCGCTGCACTCTAGTCGTCGACTCCCTCTCTCCCCACAGCAGCTGTTTGAGTGGTACGCTGACCGTCAGGGTCGCGCTGCTGGAGCTAGGGGCCCTGGTGCGGGAGGCGCTGGAGCTGGTGACTCTGCCACTGGAGTTGTTTCTACTGGAGGGTCTGGAGCTGCTGAAGGCGCTGGAGCTGGAGGTTCTGGAGCTACTGAGGGTGCTGGCGCTGAGGGTTCTGAGTCTGCTGTTGCGCGGCTTCCTTGGAGTAGCCGCCTTCGTCCGCGTGTGCCTCTCACCTCGCAGCAGCTACACGACTGGTACGGTCGCCGTCAGGGTCGAGCTTCTGGAGCTCGGGGCTCTGCCGCTGGAGGTACTTCTGCTTTCGTCACTGGAGCTGGGTGTGGTGCTGGTCCCGGAGGTGCTCGTACTGGAGGTACTGGAGCTGCTGGGGCTGGAGGTGCTGAGTCTGAGGGTGCTGCTGCTGGAGGCACTGAGGCTGGAGACCCTAGGACTGGAGGTGCCGGTTCTGGGGGTGCTGCTGTTGGTGGAGCTGGTCCTGGAGGAGCTGGCGCTGAGGGTTCTCGAGCTGCTGGAGGTGCTGGCGCTGGTGGCGCTGGAGCTGGAGGTTCTGGAGCTGCTGAGGGTGCTGGTGCTGGAGGTACTGGCGCTGGTGGCGCTGGAGCTGGAGGTTCTGGAGCTGCTGAGGGTGCTGGTGTTGGAGGTTCTGGAGCTGCTGGAGGTACTGGCGCTGGAGCTGGAGGTTCTGGAGCTGCTGAGGGTGCTGGTGCTGGAGGTTCTGGAGCTGCTGGAGGTGCTGGAGCTGCTGGTGCTGGTGTCACTGCACAGCCGCGCCTGTTCTTCGCTCCACCGTCTCCGTCGTCTCTGCCACCGCCTGACTCTGTGCTTCGCCAGGTTCTTAGTCTCCCTTCGTCTACTGGTCTTCCGTTACAGCCTGGCTCACCGCTGCCTGCTCCTTCTCCTTACACTGAGCAGCTAGGGGGTCTTACTGAGCGTCGTGAGCCTGCGTCGCGTCCTGTCTCGCCTGTCTATTCTGGTCGTTCCGGTCGTCGTGTTCCTCGTCCGCGTCTGCCGGCTGTCTCTGACACCCACCTCGTAGTCCGTCGTCCTTCCTCTCCTCCGCAGCGTGTTCCTCTGCCGTCCCCTCCTACGTCTTCTCTGCCTGTCGTTGCGGACCCCGAGTCTGACCGGTTTTGTGCTGAGCACCCTACTGTCACGCGTCTGCTAGCCACTGTTGTCACTGACCCGTCGTTTGAGTCTGCTGCTACGTCTGCCTTAGTTGCTGAGCTTGTTGACTTTGCTGCTGCCTGTCGTCTAGACTACGCCGCTAGTCTTGTTGCTGACTCTGAGTCTGTCTGTCCTCCGTCCGTCGGGGGTGAGTGTGCTCTTGGCACGGACGTCCTTGAGGACAGGCAGGAGGACCTTGAGTGTCTTGCAGCCGCTGCGCCTCATCTCGTGTCCATGCTGCTTGCCCCTGAGGGAGACCCGGATGCTCCAGACATCCCGACCCCGCGCTCTTACGCTGAGGCGATCGCGGGTGAGTACTCCTCTCAGTGGCAGACAGCCATGGATGCAGAGATGGCATCCTGGAAGTCCACAGGCACCTACGTCGACGAGGTTCCCCCTCCTGGGGCGAACATCGTCAGTGGCATGTGGATTTTCAGGGTGAAGCGGCCGCCAGGTTCTCCGCCTGCCTTCAAGGCGCGTTACGTTGCACGAGGTTTCAGTCAGCGAGAGGGAGTAGACTTCTTCCAGACCTTCTCCCCCACCCCGAAGATGACCACTCTTCGGGTGCTGCTGCACGTTGCCGCTCAGCGTGACTACGAGCTTCACTCTCTTGACTTCAGCACAGCCTTCTTACAGGGCAGCCTGCACGAGGAGATCTGGCTGCGCCGCCCACCTGGCTTCACTGGGTCGTTCCCTCCTGGTACCCAGTGGAGCCTCAGGCGGCCGGTCTACGGTCTCCGCCAGGCGCCACGTGAGTGGCACGACACACTGAGGACGACGCTTGCGGCTCTTGGGTTTGCTCCGTCGACTGCTGACCCGTCGCTGTTTCTGCGCACCGACACTTCGCTGCCGCCGTTCTACATCCTCGTGTATGTCGACAACTTGGTCTTTGCCACTGCTGACACTGGGGCTCTCGCCCTGGTGAAGTCGGAGCTGCAGAAGAGACACACGTGCACAGACCTGGGTGAGCTGACAAGCTATCTTGGCTTGCGGATCACCCGGGACAGAGCACGCCGCACCATCACACTGACTCAGTCACACATGGTGCAGCAGGTCCTTCAGCGCTTCGGCTTCACCTGGTCCTCGGCACAGCACACTCCTCTGGCTACAGGTCACTCGCTCTCAGCTCCACCTTCGGACGAGTCCGTAGAGCCGAGTGGTCCTTACCCAGAGCTAGTGGGCTGCCTCATGTACCTGATGACCTGCACTCGTCCTGATCTTGCGTACCCTCTTGGCCTTCTGGCTCGCTACGTGGCTCCTGGTCGGCACCGAAAGGTGCACATGGATGCTGCTAAGAGGGTACTACGCTACTTGTGCAGTACATCGGGCATGGGGCTCGTGCTTGGAGGACGGAGCGACTTTGTCCTCACTGGGCACTCAGACGCTTCTTGGGTTGACGACCAGGCTACGCAGCGGTCGTCACAGGGTTACACCTTCAGCCTTGGCTCTGGTTCGGTTTCGTGGCGCTCTACACGCTCGTCTTCAGTTCTCAGCTCCAGTTGTGAGGCTGAGATCTACGCCACAGCCATGGCTGCACAGGAGTTACGCTGGCTCACCTACCTGCTGACCGACTTGGGAGAGCGGCCTCGTTCTCCTCCAGTGCTGTACGTCGACAACAAGGCAGCCATTGCCTTGTGTGAGGAGCACAGACTGGAGCACAGAACAAAGCACATCGCTCTGCGTTACTTCCTGGCTCGAGAGTTGCAGCAGCGTGGTCAGCTTCGTCTGCGTTACGTGGCCACTCGGGCCAACACTGCTGATATATTCACCAAGGCACTTCAGTCTGGTGATCATCAGCGTTTCTGCACCGTGCTAGGGCTTGTGCCCACTTTTCCTCACTTGCTGTAGGCTTTGCTTGTACTGTGATCTATATATTCATATACCTGCCTGCTTGCTTTGCTAGGTAGGGATCACTGTGCTGTTTGTGTTGCATATATACCCCTGCATGTGAACTGGCCTTGTGGCCGCTTGCTTGTGCTCAGAATGCGTGGTGATCTTGAGATCCACCCTGAGCTTTGCTTTGCTTTGTTCTCTTGCTTGACCGGTCTTGTGACCTCTGGTTGTTCTTGCTATCCCCCACTTTGCCTATGGGGGTGTGTCAAACTATGTTTCTCTGTTGTAGGCTGTAGTGGGGTAGCCTCTACTGAGTACAACACTTTAGGGTTAGACATTGCCCTACTTGTACTCATCCTTGCTTCCTAGTCAATCATTCTTGCCTCTTGATTCTGACAGGAATCTGGACGGTGCGCCGGGTGGGAGGGAGTGTGCACTAGGGAGTGATGTGATTGGCTGCCAAGGCAAGATTCCTTGGTTGTGCTGGCGAAAATTGCTGCCACGCTGCGTCGTGCTCTGCTGGCGGTGCGGGCCGTCAAGAAAATCTGAAGTTTGCCGCTGATTGCGGCAAAATTTGGGGTGCACGTTGTATACCTCCCCCCCCCCCCGGAATTCGACAGTGTCGGATTCGTTTCTGCTCTTACGCATCAGTCCGGTAACACAGGACCACTCTGGTATATCAGCCCTATCTGAAGGATAGGTTTTCGGAAAAAGGGTTCAACACTAAACATATCTTAAAAAAAAGGTAAAGATTCAATACCCAGCCTTATAGTAAGGCTCATAAGGGTGATTCACTCTGCTAACCAGAGGCCTGCGCACAAGAGGAGCATGGGCCAGCTAACATCTCCTCAAATCCATCCTTCATAAAAGCAATGCCTTCTCAGCAGTTCAGCCATGCAAACCTAATCCTTATGTGCTATCTGACTTGACAGAAACATTTGCAATCAGTACCAAAGCCAGCCAGCCCACAGAGAAAAAGCAGCCGATCCCAAGCGAGCCGTCCCAAGTTCCCAACACACTACTACCCCTTCACTTTCTGGAGCTTCCCGCAAAGCGCATGCAGATTGTTCTCATGCCCAATTTTGAGTCGACTCAAAAATAGCATCCGAAGCGAGCCAAGCCAACCCAGCACACTAACCCTTCACCTTCTTGAGCTTCCCGCAGATCGCGTGCGGGTTCTTCTCATGCCCAATCTTTATGTAAGGGCCTCCGGCTTGCTTAAGTCCCAGAGCAATCATGGTCTTCATTTCAGCCAGGGACTTTGGTCCAAAACTGAGGTGGGACGTGAAGCTGTAGCGCTTGAGGCGGCCGTTCTTGTCACTTGTGATGTTGGTCCACTGGCCACCGCCCTGCGTCACGTCGCCCGCGCACGACGCCCCCGTGCCTTGGTAAGGCTCCTTGCCTCCCGATTTGATGCTCATGATGAAAGCGTCATACGTGGCATAGTATGTTGTTGCTGAGTACCTGCAAACAGAGCACGGATGGGAATGGAGTCATTTTAGGAGGCGCCTGTGAGGGGAAATCAGTCCTGAGTGAATGATTGCATTGCATGGAACAATAGAACCAGCAGATAGCACTTGCAGAGAGACGCACCTGACCACCTTGATGACATATCTCCCCCACGCGCCTTTGTCGCCAACCACCTTGCCGTTTTGCTTAGTGGGAGGCATTTTTGCCACGTACTTGACTGGCAGTGGGGGGATTGGCAGGGATAAGGGACGCATGGATAAGGGAGCATGGGAAAGGATGTGGAAGGCCAGGACAGAACAGCAGTTGAGAAGGTAGGCAGTACTTGCATCACGGCATGAGATGAGCCGCCCTGGTGGCCGCAGTGATGATGACAGAGCCGCACGAGTCCTACCAGCTGATACTCCTACAGGAACAATGCAATAAAACCACCATTTGCGGTTTGGTGCAGTAACAAATGCAACGCATGATCAATGCAGTAAAACCACTGGGGACGCATCAAGTAGTACATTAATAGAAGCTGAAACCATCTGTTGAAAGCATTCAAACGAGGAGGAGGTGGCTGCAGTTCGGTGCGCCTGCCACCTGCCACCTGCCACCTCCTGCTGCTGCTATTACTGGTAGCAGCAGCAGCAGCAGAAAGAGAAGGAGTAGTACTATCGCCAGTGTTCTAGCAGCGACCAAGAGGCAAAGAGCAGCGCTGCGGATCGGACACTTACTCACGGTCTTCCCTTTCCAATACAAGGGCTTGACGGCCTGAGCGGCAGACGCCGCGCCTGGAGGGCTGCCGAGGTGTGCGAGGAATGGCGGGAAGATTGAAGCAGACGCGGCGGAGCCAAAGAAGAACGCCGCACCTGACGGGCAAGGCAGCGCGCGCACGAGGGAGGAGCATGGTTAGGGGCGAGCGATGACACGAAAACTGACAGCCGCGGCTCTAGGGTTTGCCGCTGTTGGCCTTTGCCGTTGGATGCTGACGTGGCCGCGATCCATGAGCCATCACCACGGGGAGGAGAAAAAGCAGATAAAGGGCAGGAGAATACGGTGGTAGTGCATATAGAGCGGCAGCCTGCTATGCTACTGCTGTATACTCCTGAGGAGAGTAGTGAGCGGCTTACAGAGCAGGGAGAAGACGAGAGGTGCTGCGCGCTCCATGTCGGTACTCGATCCAGAGCAAACTGAGAGGCCTAGGAGATTATTTGAGGTGGGAAAGGGCGATGAACGTGTAGTCCGCGATCAGAAATGAAACTCTGGTGCTCCTCCTGACCTGAGCCGTGACTGCTTTTGAGTCGACTCAAAAACTGAGAGGCCTAGGAAATGGTATGGGATGGGAAAGGGCGATGATCGTGTAGTCCGCGATCAGGCTCAAGGGAACTGAAATAAAACTCTGGTGCTCCTCCTGACCTGAGCCGTGATGCGACAGGCAATACTATACTATTGCTGCTCCGTCCCTCCAGCCCGATGAGAGGGCTCTGAACTGAATCGTGGCCCGTGGGACTGGGAGGCGCGGCGAGTGCTGGTAACAGCGGCGCCATGGCGCAGCTTCCAGCTTCCGAAGCTGAGACTCCCAGGCTGGGAGATTCGGCGGAGCCCCATCCATCCCCGAGGGCGTCGGCAGTTATGCCCGTCTGTTTTCGTGATGTGATGGCCGCCGAGTGACAAGATTAGCGAGGCGACCGGGAAGGAGCGCGGCGGGGAAAGGCGGAGGCGCGCCGCCTCGAAAACAAACTCCCCAAGCGGCGCCAGTGGGTTTGTTGATCAAGCTTCCTCTCCTCTCCAACGCGGAACCGTAACGTGGCTGCTATTAAGTGCATAGCGCGGGGCGGTGCCGCCCCCCCGGGGCAGCGCTACGCCGCGACGAGAGCTGACGCGGAAGGGGCGCCAGCAGCGGCCTGTTTTCTAAGCATCCTGGGGATGCGGCGGCGAGTCTAGTACAGAAAATAGGTGGGAGGACTAGGAAATTCCCCTCGCCACCGACATAGGTTGTTGTTATGAGGGCCTCGACACGAGGTTGTGATGACCTGAGGTGGATGCGATGCGATGCGAGGCACAGGTTGTTTTGGGGTGCCACAGCCACTCCGACTCAGTGCAAACAATAGCGGTGAGGGGCTGAGCCGACCCTTTAGCACGCGGACGGGACGCAAGCCCGAACAACCCGTAGGCTCTCAAGCTTGAAGAGCTTTGAGCTCAGTGGGGGACAGGTTTGGTCCCGGGTTCTGTCAACGTTTACTTCAGAGTCTCATATTTTCGAGAGTTGTTAAAGCTGTCGTCTACATACCTGGCGGGAGAGGCTCTGGTTTATCACTTGAAAACCAGGTAGCCTTCCACTTCAGTGGCGAGGTGTGTTTCCGAGTTTGAGACAACACAACCCCCGCCTGTAATTTCCCTGCTCATGATTGGCTAATTAATTTCGCCAATCCCCTCCCCAAACCAACCTCACGAAATTATCGCGAAGTCGCCGAGGGTTGTTTCCCAACCGAACCAAATCACGAAACTGGCGGATTTCGCCAGTTCTGTTTGACTCCCTCTCACCTACTGAGGGTGCGTTCTTAGCCTGTGTCAGGCAGGCTGACATGAAGCTGTGAATGGTTTGGATTTGATTGATGATGACGTGGAACGATCGGAGCTGTCGATAGCCTTGTGTCAGGAAGCTTGACACAGGCTAAGAACGTACCCTGATACTGGAAGCAGGTCATTCGTAAGCAAATCAGCGTGCGTCGTTGGGTGTGCATCCTAAATAACCCCGGAAAATACCTCGATGAATGTAGACCGCAGCTTTAACACTTGGTTGGATGGCAGAAATATGAGACGCGAGCTTTAAAGCCCAAGATCTGAATTACTCAACGAAAGTCAACGCTAAAAGTTAGGTTCGGGAGGCAGGCACGGAGAGGTTCGGTTGGGTTGCGAGAGACTTTCACTCGCGAAACCAATTTGCGACAAAATTTTCTCGCTTCCCATAATGGGTGGGGTCCTTCCCACAACCAGAAAAGCGCGAGCATACCAAACTGTGCACAGTTTGAGACAGCATGCAGAGTATTAGGCATAGACCATACCTGTAGACAGGGCAGGGCGTCGGCGTTCACTCAAAAGGGATCAGATGCGCCTTACGATGTCGGTGGCGCGGATTCGATGACGGCGCGCAAAGCTAGTGTTCGCTGGGTGAAGATTTTTGTGTCAAAATGCAGGTTATTGTGCAACTACACCGTAGCATAAACTCGCGGCGAAAATCGAATCGCAACCGTTCGCCCAAACGTGACCCTACCCTCGCACTTGCTTTCCTTTCCCACGCTTCCGCTCTCTGTCGCCCGCGTCGTCGCCATCGCTTCCGCAGCTCGTCGCGTTCGCGACCCCAGCCCGTCGCCTTCGCTCCGCCCGTCGCCTTCACTTCCCCCCCGTCGCCTTCACTTCTTCCCCGTCACCTTCCCTCCCCCCCCTCCCCCCCCTCTTCCCCCGCCTTCATTTCCCCTTCCCGTCGCCTTCACTTCCTCCTCCCTTCGCCTTCACTTCCTCCTCCCTTTGCCTTCACTTCCTCCTCCCTTTGCCTTCACTTCCTCCTCCCTTCGCCTTCACTTCCTCCTCCCTTCGCCTTCACTTCCTCCTCCCTTTGCCTTCACTTCCTCCTTCCTTCGCCTTCACTCCCCCCTCCCGTCGCCTTCATTTCCCCCTCCCGTCGCCTTCAATCCCCCTCCCGTCGCCTTCATTTCCCCCTCCCGTCGCCTTCATTTCCCCCTCCCGTCGCCTTCATTTCCCCATTCACGCTCTCTTTCCCTCCCTTCCGCCCGCTGCCCCCCTTCGTCTCGTCGCCCTCCCTGCCGCTCGTCACACTCGCTCCCGCTCGTCCCCTCGCAATCCCCGTCTCTCTCTCCCCCCGTCGCCCTCGGTTTCCCCGTCGCCCTCCCTTCCTCTCGACGTTGCCCTCGCCATCCCTCCCTTCTCCCTTCCCATCTCGCACACTTGTCACTCCCCCTTTCCAACCCACACATACACCCTTCCCTTCTTCCCTGTTCCCCCCCATCTCCATCCCTGTTCCCCCCCATCTCCATCCCTGTTCCCCCCCATCTCCATCCCTGTTCCCCCCCATCTCCATCCCTGTTCCCCCCCATCTCCATCCCTGTTCCCCCCCATCTCCATCCCTGTTCCCCCCCATCTCCATCCCTGTTCCCCCCCATCTCCATCCCTGTTCCCCCCCATCTCCATCCCTGTTCCCCCCCATCTCCATCCCTGTTCCCCCCCATCTCCATCCCTGTTCCCCCCCATCTCCATCCCTGTTCCCCCCCATCTCCATCCCTGTTCCCTCCCATCTCCATCCCTGTTCCCCCCCATCTCCGTCCCTGTTCCCCCCCATCTCCGTCCCTGTTCCCCCCCATCTCCGTCCCTGTTCCCCCCCATCTCCGTCCCTGTTCCCCCCCATCTCCGTCCCTGTTCCCCCCCATCTCCGTCCCTGTTCCCCCCCATCTCCGTCCCTGTTCCCCCCCATCTCCGTCCCTGTTCCCCCCCATCTCCGTCCCTGTTCCCCCCCATCTCCGTCCCTGTTCCCCCCCATCTCCGTCCCTGTTCCCCCCCATCTCCGTCCCTGTTCCCCCCCATCTCCGTCCCTGTTCCCCCCCATCTCCGTCCCTGTTCCCCCCCATCTCCGTCCCTGTTCCCCCCCATCTCCGTCCCTGTTCCCCCCCATCTCCGTCCCTGTTCCCCCCCATCTCCGTCCCTGTTCCGCCCCATCTCCGTCCCTGTTCCCCCCCATCTCCGTCCCTGTTCCCCCCCATCTCCGTCCCTGTTCCCCCCCATCTCCGTCCCTGTTCCCCCCCATCTCCGTCCCTGTTCCCCCCCATCTCCGTCCCTGTTCCCCCCCATCTCCGTCCCTGTTCCCCCCCATCTCCGTCCCTGTTCCCCCCCATCTCCGTCCCTGTTCCCCCCCATCTCCGTCCCTGTTCCCCCCCATCTCCGTCCCTGTTCCCCCCCATCTCCGTCCCTGTTCCCCCCCATCTCCGTCCCTGTTCCCCCCCATCTCCGTCCCTGTTCCCCCCCATCTCCGTCCCTGTTCCCCCCCATCTCCGTCCCTGTTCCCCCCCATCTCCGTCCCTGTTCCCCCCCATCTCCGTCCCTGTTCCCCCCCATCTCCGTCCCTGTTCCCCCCCATCTCCGTCCCTGTTCCCCCCCATCTCCGTCCCTGTTCCCCCCCATCTCCGTCCCTGTTCCCCCCCATCTCCGTCCCTGTTCCCCCCCATCTCCGTCCCTGTTCCCCCCCATCTCCGTCCCTGTTCCCCCCCATCTCCGTCCCTGTTCCCCCCCATCTCCGTCCCTGTTCCCCCCCATCTCCGTCCCTGTTCCCCCCCATCTCCGTCCCTGTTCCCCCCCATCTCCGTCCCTGTTCCCCCCCATCTCCGTCCCTGTTCCCCCCATCTCCGTCCCTGTTCCCCCCATCTCCGTCCCTGTTCCCCCCCATCTCCGTCCCTGTTCCCCCCCATCTCCGTCCCTGTTCCCCCCCATCTCCGTCCCTGTTCCCCCCCATCTCCGTCCCTGTTCCCCCCCATCTCCGTCCCTGTTCCCCCCCATCTCCGTCCCTGTTCCCCCCCATCTCCGTCCCTGTTCCCCCCCATCTCCGTCCCTGTTCCCCCCCATCTCCGTCCCTGTTCCCCCCCATCTCCGTCCCTGTTCCCCCCCATCTCCGTCCCTGTTCCCCCCCATCTCCGTCCCTGTTCCCCCCCATCTCCGTCCCTGTTCCCCCCCATCTCCGTCCCTGTTCCCCCCCATCTCCGTCCCTGTTCCCCCCCATCTCCGTCCCTGTTCCCCCCCATCTCCGTCCCTGTTCCCCCCCATCTCCGTCCCTGTTCCCCCCCATCTCCGTCCCTGTTCCCCCCCATCTCCGTCCCTGTTCCCCCCCATCTCCGTCCCTGTTCCCCCCCAATCTCCATCCCTGTTCCCCTTCCCTGCTCCCCCCCGTCCCCTTCCCTCCTTCTCCCCGTCCCCTTCCCTTCCTCCCCCCATCCCCTTCCCTGCTTCCCCCCTTCCCCTTCCCTGCTTCCCCCCGTCCCCTTCCCTCCTTCCCCCCGTCCCCTTTCCTGCCTCCCCCCATCCCCTTCCCTGCTTCCCCTTCATCCCCTTCCCTGCTTCCCCCATTCCCCTTCCCTGCTTCCCCCCGTCCCCTTCCCTCCTTCCCCCCGTCCCCCTCCCAGCATCCCCCCATCCCCTTCCCTAAACCCCCCCATCCCCTTCCCTGCTTCCCCCCATCCCCTTCCCTGCTTTCCCCCATCCCCTTCCCTGCTTCCCCCCATCCCCTTCCCTGCTCACCCTTGCTCCCTCTGTTTCACCCTTGCTCCCCCTGTTCACCCTTGCTCCCTCTGAATCACCCTTGCTCCCTCTGAATCACCCTTGCTCCCTCTGAATCACCCTTTCTCCCTCTGAATCACCCTTGCTCCCTCTGAATCACCCTTGCTCCCTCTGAATCACCCTTGCTCCCTCTGAATCACCCTTTCTCCCTCTGAATCACCCTTGCTCCCTCTGAATCACCCTTGCTCCCTCTGAATCACCCTTGCTCCCTCTGAATCACCCTTGCTCCCTCTGAATCACCCTTGCTCCCTCTGTTTCACCCTTGCTCCCTCCCCTTCTTCTCTTCTCACTCTCTTCCCCCTTGCTCACTCTCTTTACTTCTGCTCACTCTGTTCCCCCCTGCTTCCTCTCTTCCCCTCTGTTCAATCTGTCCCCCGCTGCTTCTTCTCTTCCCCTCTGCTCATTCCGTTTGCTGTCATTCCCCCTTCACTCACCACCATACCCCCAAATGCAGTTACAGGTGCCCAGCACCAGATGTGGCTTTACCACTGCCTGGATTATTGCTTGGAGTGTAGCAGTCAAAACCGGGAAGCAACATTGCACGCACACCCCCTAGCATTGTTCCCTACTCGAGTGGAGTGATTCCCCTTAATTTACAGATATGGTAATATAATAATTGTTGAACTCCTTGGTATTGGTCATGTGTATGACTGCTCCGAGGCTCATAGTCCTGTATTATAAAAATGGATCCAATACATGGCATGGCTATACGTCGTGTTACTATGAGACAGCCATCACATCACCACCAGATGCAGAGCAAACCTGTCCAAACACAAACCAAGAAGTCAGATGTGGCGTGGCTGAAGTATAAGGGAAGCAAGCATGCAAAAGAATGACAACTGGCAAGTGGAAGGGAGGAACGGAGAAAGGGAGGAAGTGAGGAATGCAGGAATGAAGGAAGACAGGAAGTGATGATGGGAGGAAGGGAGGTAGGAAGGACGCTTGGGGGAGAAGCAGAAGGGAGGGGAGGAAGAGGGCGGAATGGGGTATGACTGTATGGTGGAATGGTGAAAGTTGGCACGGGGAATGATGGGATTGGGGAACGAGGGATGGGGAAACGAGGAAAAGGGGATGAGAAGTAGGATGGCATGGCGGAATGGGGTGGGGCAGAAAGGGGTGGGGCGGAATGGGGTGGGGCAGAAAGGGGTGGGGCGGAATGGGGTGGGGCGGAATGGGGTGAGGCGGAATGGGGAGATGAGGGATGGGGAGATGAGGGAAGGGGAGATGAGGAATTTGGAGATGAGGGAAGGGGAAATGAACGCGTATGCGACGGAATCGGAGAACGACTTGTAGGTCGAGGGGAGGGTGCGTGCGTGGGTGACGGGAGGGGAATGAGCGAGCTTGTTCGAGGGAAGGGAGGAGATGGGGTGAAGAGGAGCTAAGGATTGGAGGGATGGGAACAAGAGGGGACAGAAACTCTCTTGAAACCCGGGTGCTGATGCCACAATCTGCACAGCGGAGATGTGGAATGGGAGGCGAAGAGGGAGGAGAGGTGGTGACGAAGGAGAGGAGGTGAGGGAGGAGACAGAGGGTTGGGAGGGGAGGGAGGATGAGAGGATGGGCGGGTGAGAGGATGGGCGGATGAGAGGATGGGCGGATGAGAGGATGGGCGGATGAGAGGATGGGCGGATGAGATGATGGGCGGATGAGAGGATGGGCGGATGAGAGGATAGGCGGATGAGAGGATGGGCGGATGAGAGGATAGGCGGATGAGAGGATGGGCGGATGAGAGGATAGGCGGATGAGAGGATGGGTGGAACGGAGGAGCAGGGTTGGCGTGAGGAAGGGAGTGGGCGAGTGGGAAATGGAAAGGGAAAGGAGGACTGGATCGAGGGAGGATGAGGAGAGGGAGAATGGCAGGAAGGGAGGGCGGGAGGAAGGGAGGGAGAACGGGCAACAGAAAGGGGAAAGAGGGTAGTGAGGCAGAGAGTGTGGGATAGATGGAGGAAGGGAGGAAGAGAGAGGGAGAGGAGGACGACTGTGGGGGCCCCACAAAACGGAGGAAGGGAGGAGGGCAGGAGGTAAGAGTGTGGCAGGGTATAAGGGGGATAGGAGGATCCCTGCACCCTCTCTCCCTAACCCCCGCCTCCCCCGCTCCGCCTCCCCTAACCCGCCCCCTGCAGCACTGCACTCCTTGCTGCCCGCCTGCACGCGCTGCCCTGGCTGTGTGCCCAACACTCTGCTCCACAGCCGCACCACCACCTGCCATGGGCGACGGTGGGGGAAAGCGTGGGCGACGGTGGGGGAAAGCGTGGGCGACGGTGGGGGGAAGCGTGGGCGACGTGTGCCATTTTCGTCAGCCGATCGATGACGACCAGGATCGCGTCGTTCCCACTTGCTCCAGCCGGTAACCCCGTGACGAAGTCCATCGACACCTGCTGCCAAGCACGCTCTGGGGGTGGTATCGGCTGCAACTGCCCTGCCGGTCGTTGTCGTGACGACTTCATGAGCTGGCAGGTGGGACACGATGCCACGTGTCGTTGCACGTCGGTCAGCATCTCGGGCCAGTAGTAATACCGCTGCAGCTGCTGCCGTGTTTTCTCTACCCCGAAATGTCCTGAGGTAACCCCGTCGTGTGCCTCCTGTAGTAACAGTTCCCTTAGTAAAGTGTAGCCCGGTACCCAGATGCGGTCGGTGCCGGCTTTTACGTAATACACCCCTTTTGCTGCTGCGAACTGCTGCGAGTTGCCTCCGGTAAAAAAGGGGTCAGCCTGATACCCGTGGGTAAATAGGCTTGTCAGTAGCGGGCTGGTCTGTGCAAGTAGTATGGCGTGGATCTGGGCAGTTGGGCGGGTCAGTGTGTCGGCAATGTTCGATGCTCCCTTTTTATAGGTGACTGTGTAGTGGAAATTTGACTCGAGGAAATCGAGCCAGCGGATCTGTCGTGGGTTGAGGTGGGGCTGTGCGCGGAGGTACTGTAGGGATCTGTGGTCTGTCCGTACTGTCACGTCTGCGCCGGTCAAGTAACAGCGCCAGACCTTGAATGCATGCACGATCGCGAGCATTTCGCGGTCGTGTATCGGGTAATTCTTCTCGGGCGGATGCAGTTTGCGTGACTCGTATGCGATGGGCTGTAAACCGTTGCCGAAACCCTGTAGCAGTACGGCTCCAATGGCGATGTCGCTTGCGTCTGTAACTACTTCGAATGGGCGGTGTGGGTCGGCGATGCGCAGGACGGGCGGTGAACAGAGAACATTTTTCAGGGCAGAGAAGGCAGCATGCTCTTTCTCCCCCCACGTAAATGTGACCCCCTTCCGCAGTAAATCCGTCAGTGGGGCAGTTAACCGTGCCATGTCGGGGACGAACCGACGCACATAATTAACGAACCCTAAAAAGCTCTGCAGCTCCATGATGTTCGTCGGGGGGTGCCACGCTTTTACCGTGTCCAGCTTCTTTGGGTCGATTTCAACTCCAGCCTCCGAAATAACGTGCCCCAAAAACTCTAACCTATCCTGGAAGAACTCGCACTTGGAACCCTTGGTCAGTAATCTGTGCTCGTCTAAAACGTTAAATACTGCTTCCAGATCTGCTAAGTGCTGCTGCTTATCGCGACTGTAAACTAGGATGTCGTCGAGGTAAACTATCACGCATTTATCTAAGAGCGGCCTAAACGCCTCGTTTATGGTTATCTGAAAAGTCGCAGGTGCATTGGTCAGCCCGAATGGCATCACGGTGTACTCGAATGACCCATACCTAGTCCTAAATGTTGTTTTTACGCAGTCCGATGGTTCGACCCGAATCTGGTGGTAACCTCCGCGTAAGTCAATTTTCGAAAAGACCCGTGCTGTTCACAGTTGATCTATCAGTTCGTCGGCGCGGGGAATGGGATATCGCGACTTGATTGTTACCCTGTTCAGTGCTCTGTAGTCGATACACATGCGAAAACCCCCGTCTTTTTTCGGTGTGAACGGTATCAGTGCGGCAAACGGTGACGAGCTCGGTCGGATGAATTTTTTCTCTAACAGGTAATCTAACTGCTTCCTCAGTTCATCGAGCTCTGGCTGTGTTAGTCGGAATTGTCGCTGTACAGTTGGCTGTGCCCCCGGTTCTAACTCTATTCGGTGGTCATGTGCCCGCTGAGGTGGCAGTCCCTCTGGTAAATCGTCCGGAAAACTCCCCGGGTACCGTTTCAACAGTTCCTGCAGTTCGGGCGGTACTGCTGCCAACAGTTTCTGAAAATCGCTCGGCTTCTCTGCTTCTTCTACCAATGCTATATCTACTGCGTACACGTCAGCTCCAGCGGCGACAGCCCATTTCATCGTGATGGCGCTGACGTGGACCGTTGAAGACTCGGGCGACTGCCAGCGAGGTAGCATGACCTAGTTACCGCTACTTCGCACAGTGCAGCTACCCGTCGTCCAGTCGATTCGCAGAATTATACCGTCGCAGCCAGTCACGTCCCAGTAAAATGTCGTGCCCATCCAGTGTCGTCGCGAGCATTTCCTGTGTAAACCCAAAATTCCCCCCGCAGCGGACTTTTACTCTTTCCACTTTCTCCCGTATGGCCAGTGGCGTGCCGTCGACTAAGCGTGCATCTATCTCCGGTAAACACCGACTAAGTGTCAGTTGCAGCTTCCGTGCGGTTGCGGTATTAACGAAGCTGTGGCTTGCTCCTCCGTCTATAAAAATCTTCACTGCTGCTCCCTGTATTTTCCCGTGAATCAGTACTGGGCAATCCGTCGCTGTACCCTCCTTATTCATCTGAGCCCGATCGATAGCGTGAATCGGTACTGTGACTCGGTGAGGGTCGGTGAGGTTGGGCCAGCAGGTTGTCTCGTCAGTAGTCGGCCCATTTCTACTGACTGCTGGCGTTTCCCTGCCTCTGAGACTCCCTTCCCTGCTCTGCTCCGCGGCGTCTCTGCTCCTCTGGGCATTCGCTCTTGCGATGGCCCGGCCTATTGCAAGAAAAGCAGCGCCCCCTAAATGGCGCAGCAGCTGCATTCGCCGCAACGGCGTGTACGGTGGCGTGCTCGGTCGGTCCTCGAGGGCGATGTCCGTAGTAGGACCCCGGTCTCGGACGGCGCAAAATGTCGATTTTCTCGGCGAGCGCGAGGATCTCGTTGAAATTCCAGAGCCCGCGTAGCATGATTTCGTGCGAGATGTCCGGCTTCAGCCCTCCGACGTAACGGTCCACCCGCTCCGCTTCGTGCATGTAGCCGACTTGCTCACATGGTGCGAGAAAACCGCTGGTATAGTCTTGGACCGACCCAAGTTGTCGCCAAGTACGCAGTTTTTGACGCGCCGAAATAGAAGCCGCAATCGGCTCGAAGCGCGCTCGAAGCCCTGCGCACCACGCATCCCACGTGCTGTACTGGGCGGTTTCGCAGAACGAACTCCAGGTGGCGGCTGGACCCGTGGGCTCTTCCTCTTGCGACGGAGGCTCGTAGGCGCGTGGTGACGTCACAATGACTCGCCACCAGTCCATGGCGGGGCCCCTTAGCAGCGAAACAGCATATCGAATCTTCGCTGCGTCCGACTCGACGTAGTTCGCGTCGAAAAAAACGTTCATCGTGAAGACCCACGATTGAACCGTCGGACCTCCTCGTTGGCTCGGGTCGAAGCAGGGCGGGCGCTGCGGTTTGAGCGGCATCGGCGCGATAATGTCGTTGTTGCCGATTGTTGCCGCAAATTCGACGAGACGACGGGCTTCGCGAGGCCCGCTCGTGCTTGGTACAGCCCTGTTCCTCGCCATGCCAGGCATTGACTGGGCCGCGCCATCACTGGCTGCGCCTGAGCACTGTCCCACGCTGTCGTGATGTGACGGTGTGCCGGACGAGATGACAATCGGCTCATCCGATTGCACAGGTGCATAAGCGGGTGCTTGGGATGGTGCTGGCGCATTCACCGTTGATTGCTGGCGGGCGGAATCACGTTCCGCCGTGAGTGTCGCGATTTCAAGCGCCGAATCTTCGAGTTGACGCACGAGACGGCCGAGCTGCTCCTGCGTCAGTGTCGCAACATTAATTTCGGCCATGGCGGGGGTGTCGGGCAAACTCAGCGAGAGCCTCTGTCGTGGCCGTGCGTGCTTACGAGAGAGCACTTCGAGCGGCGGTGCTTGTTCGCTGAGAGACGTCTACCCCCCCCCAAAAAATGAGATAGTGGGGAAGCGAAGGTGTGGGTGCAGTCCGAGAGGAGATCGTAGGCTCTGGATACCAAGTGTTACGAGTGCAATTGAGCGAGCGAGCGAGAATTGCACTATCGAAGCAAAACAATACAATGAGCGAAGGCATGCGCGAAGAATATATAACGAACTAGAGTGGTAACTGTAACGTGAGATAATGGGGTGCGCGACGGGCCTAGCGCCGAGGTTGGGAAATGTCGAGGCGGAGGTCCGGAGCGCGAGTTACCAACCGAACCGTGAGGTTGGGTCGCATTGTGAATGGTGGCGGGAGTAGTAGTCGAGGCGAGTGTCGCGAGCGGGTAACGTTTCATTGTTTGGGTGTCGATGGCGGGAATGGTCTTGTACGCGGTAAGCAGGGACGCGAAGTAAGGAAAAGGAATTTTCCTTACATATACCATCGAAATGTTTTGCAATATGAATAATTTAGAAATAAATTTCTAAATTTAATGATTGTGACAAGATTCGGAAAGTGGGGAATGCAATAAGGAGGCATTCCCCTCTTATCCCTCGGCAGGTCCACAGACCTGCCACCTAGTCTCATTTCATCCATCTCAGTTTGACATTCTCTCTGATGCCTAGATCTCAACCTTCAACCCTACTTAGCGACGTTTTAACTGCCAGACTTGACAACATGGGGAGCGGATTTGTTTCCGCAATTAACGGTCGTCCCCCTCCTGCTCGCATTAACACCCGGAGCTCATCAAGGCGTGGGTCACCAAGGCGAGATGATGATCGAATTTCTACTTCCGGGAGGGATCGTTCCGGTTTGCCCAGAAACGAGTCTCGTGGAGGAGTCACGGCTCTCGATTTAATTGGTGCAGCGAATCGCGGGACCAATCGTCGAAACGAAGATCGCGCGCCAACTTCTCCGACGGGCGTCCGTAACAATCTCCCGCGCGAACCTGCAAGCACCACCAACGCAGGAGCAGGAACGCGCAATGACGGCACCCCTGCACTTCGCGCCAATCAGGAGGGACCGCCTGGATTTTTCAACCAGGTCAATCCCCCTCTCGCCACTGTAACAGCCCAGGGGCGCGTGCCAGGCCAACAGGAGAGGCACGCGCAAGTGGAGCAAGGACCCGCGCCTC